CGTAAAGGTATGGGCGAAATTTCGTGACTGCCCACACGACTGCCAAGCATTCTTTTTCGGTTACGGTGTAATTTTTTTCGGGTTTTGAGAGAGCCCTACTTGCATAGGCGACAACCTAGTTATCAAAACCTGCTTTTGTCTGAGCGAGAACTGCTCCGACTCCAAAGCCGCTGGCATCAGTTCGGAGTTCTGTTGGAGCAGTGGGGTCGAAAGGTCGGAGTATTGGTGCGGATGTTAGAATTTCCTCTAGCTGATTGAAGGCAGCTTCACACTCAGATGTCCAAGAAGGCAGGTGGGACGATTTTTTCAAAAGGTCATGTAGGGGTGCTGCTATGGATGCAAAGCCACGCACAAAGCGTCGAAAATAGGAGCAGAGTCCAAGAAAACTTCGCACTTCTTTCTCTGTGGTTGGCTTTGGCATGTTGGGAACGGCCTGAATTTTCTCAGGATCCGGCTGAATGCCGTCTTTGGACACGAAGTGACCCAGAACTTTTATATGCCTCGCCGCAAATCGACACTTATTGACATTTAGCTGGAGGCCGGCGTGGCTGAGACAGGACAATACGGTTGTTAATTGATGGAGGTGCTCCTCAAATATCTTCGAAAATATAACTACGTCATCTAAATAACCCAGACATATGTTCCATTTCAGGCCTCTCAACACGGCATCCATCATATGTTCAAACGTCGCGGGTGCGCTGCGTAGGCCGAAAGGCATGACGTTGAACTCGTACAGTCCTTCCGATGTAATGAAGGCTGTTTTGTCTCGGTCGTTGGAGACCATGGGGATTTGCCAGTAGCCTGAACGGAGGTCTAGAGAAGAAAAATACTTGGCTCCCTGCAAGCTGTCAAGGGCATCGTCGATTCTGGGCATTGGATATACGTCTTTGCGCGTGATCTTATTCAGCCGCCGGTAGTCAACGCAGAACCTTATGCTACCATCTTTCTTCTTGACGAGGACCACTGGGGAAGCCCACGGACTCGTAGATGGTGTGGTGACACCTTTGTATAGCCTGTCGTTCACTTCGTCATCTATTATGCTTCGTTCAGACGCTGAGACACGGTATGGACGTTGACATAAGGGTTTCTCGCTGCATGTATCAATGTGGTGGACTACAGACGTGGAACGGCCCAAAGTAGACTGTGGGCGATCAAATATGGTGTTAAATCTACGCAGAACAGACAGAATTGAGTCTTTTTGAGACGAATCGTGGTGGCGATCTACAGTGAATAACAACAACTCGTCTTCGTCAGGTCGCTGCTGAACTAATGTACAACAATATGCAGGAGAGGGAGTATCGAATGCGAAAACCTCGATGGCTTGAGATGGTTCGGCCTAGGCTACAAATTCACCGGCAGGGAGCATTATTGGGAGAGAAGACATATTGAGAACCATAATAAATCCGTGGCTGTTGTCAAGGTTGAGCAAAGAAAAAGGAACAAGGATATCTGTCTTGCGAAAACAAGGAGCAGATGGAGATGCCATTAGGACCAGCACTTCGAGTTTAGATGACTGAATCGGAAGAAACACAGAAGCAAACGCAGGAATTCTTGTGTCATTAGCTAGAAATAATTTGATCGTGTCGACAGCGTCGTTTTCTTCAGGAAGCCGAATTTCAGCAAAGTTCACCTCTGCACGTTCACAGTCAACAAGGGCATTCGTTGCTTCAAAAAAGTCCCAGCCAAGAATCACGTCGTGAGAGCAGGAAGGAAGCACCACAAATTCGACGCAGTAACATATATCTTGAATTACAATGCGTGCTGCGCAGACCCCGGTAGGGACAATGTTTTGCTCGCCAACAGCTCTAGATGGACGTCCGACAAAAGGGGTCGTCACTTTCCTTAATCGACTACAAAGGTCAGCCCGAATGACTGATACTGCAGCGCCGGTGTCAACCAATGCTTGAACATGCAAACCATTAATTACAATATCAATCATATTTTGTGCAATAGGGCGAGGACCTAAGGATGTAAAAGGATTCGCAGTTCTCGCCTCTGGAACTGCTCCTAGCAGTTTCCGTCTGGAGCGGAAGATGTCGTACGTGGGCGCAGAGGAGACAGCAAGCGTCGTCTGGGAGACGGAGATCTGCTTGGTCGTTGCTGCCGTTGGTAGTCAGAGTAATCTTGGAAAGCATCACTTCGACGACTACCAGCGAAGCCTGATCGATAGTGAGCTTGTGGTGGCGGACCATAACTTTCAGTGTACCGACGTCGACAAAACCGAGCGACATGTTCAACCAGACCACATGAAAAGCAAATTGGTCGATTCTCCGGGGTCTCGTCGGCTCTACGTCCTTGCCAGCGAGGGGAGGAAATGGTTGCTGAGGTTGGACGACAGGCACGGGGGGCGGATGCGCTACCATTTCGGCGTACGTAGGCGTGAGCGGCATCGGCACGGTGGGCGGTATCACAGGGCAAGGGATAGCGGCTGTGACTTGCTATTGAATAAGCGCTCTGATGGAAGGTGAGACGTAGGGCTCTGGGGAAGTGGCAAGCTTTTTTAGTAGGCGAGCCACTTCGTCGCGGATGATTTCCTGAATGAGATATCGAAGGTCACCCCATTTATCAGGAGGACTGTCCGCAGCGTTATTCAAGCAAGCTAGCTCCATGGGAGGCTGCGGCTTGCGGCTGAGTGGAAAACGCTGGGTACGCAGCTCAGAAAAGGTTTGGCAAATATCGATGGCTTCAATGACGGTCGAGGGGGCTCTGACGACAAGAATTTGAAATGCGTCTTCAGCAATTCCCTTCATGATGTTTTTTAGTTTTTCGTCTTCCGGCTTCTGTGTGTCAATGCGCTTGCACAATTTGAGCACGTCTTCAATGTAGCTGACGAAACTTTCATCATTTTGTTGAACCCGTGATGCTAGGGTCCTTTTTGCTATCAGCTTTCGCTGGGCTGGCTTCCCAAATACTTCCTGAATTTTCGATTTGAACAGAGTCCAGGTCGCCAGCTCTGACTTTTGTACCATAATTTAGCGACGTCAGTCAAATAAAAAATAACGTTATTGAGTTTCAGCACATCATCCCATTTGTTATGAAGGCTTACTCTTTCCACGGACTTCAACCAGTCATCAATGTCATCGTCGCCGATCCCACTGAAAAGCTTCCGGTCACGTTGGCGAAGGGCTCCGGCACACAGAATAGTCGTGGGTCCTTGGCTGGAGGTAGCCAATCTTGAAGCATCCGAGGTTCCTTCGCCTGTCATTGCTGATGTTAGCCGCCGATTGCGGAGTTCCAGGGTTGGGAATTATACTTGAGAGTGAGGTCCGAGTTGGGGAAGTTCGCACTCTCCACCAATTGTAGCAGAAGTCAGATTCAGTGATGGGGGTTTACTATTTACACGGGTATTGGAGATAGAACTCAAGATGACCTTCCGGTATATATTGCCGCTCGCTCCCAGTCTGTCCTTCCTCCTCCTCTTCTCCCAGGACGGCGCGTCCCCGAAGACTCGTGCCGCTTTTCTTCGTCACAATATATATATATATATATATATACATATATACAGCATTACCAATATTCACAAGAAAGGGAATTTAGGGTCTTGATTACTGCGAACGACTTTATCAGTGCAGTATGTCTGCCAAGCAGCGTTATTTTGAGCACTGCGACGTATTTCAGCATCTGCATAACAAAACTAGATGAAAAAAAAAAAAACGAATGTCTCTTTAGTTCCGGTAGCACTTTTACGTTCTTCTATGAAGGACATTTGTGACCCATTAAATTATGGCGAACCTTGTCCCCCCCCCCCCCCCCCCCCTCAGCTCTCGGTCCTAGCGGAACCAGAATACATTGTTTTTCCGTCCCTAGCCAATCACTGTTGGTTTTCCGGCGTTTCCTTGGCCCACGATGACACTGAGCCTCAGTGGGCCACCGCTCTTGTCCAGTGATGTCCTTTTCAGTATGCTCCTGAGTCGCAATACTGCATTGTTGTACAAAATGTATGCCATAGTTGGACGTGTCCTCGAGCACGCTACTTGTATCCGTTTCTTATTTTTGTCACACTCGTGTACTTTAGATGGCCTAAATTTGCGATTGAATAGAGTGGAGAAGAATACAGTTTTCTCAATTGAATTATGAAATACATGACAAATAATATTAAAAGCTAGAAATAATGTTTAGTTAACTAGATTGCGTAATATTGCTTTTAATGTTTACTCTCATGTGCACCACAGTTGAAACGAGCATACCAAGAAGTGTTTCCTTTATTTTGTCTTTTTTTTATTCTTCCAGTCGATGGTGATACCTGCTATACATTGGATTTGCTTAAAAGACGTCATGACGAGAATAGATTTAGTTAATATAATTTATTTGTCAATACAAATATTTTTTTATGTTTCTCTTTTAATTGTCACTTCAAGCAACCTCACAATGAATGCAATATATCAGTGAAAACAATAAAAAGGAAACCAGGAGAAACGTACGGGGATCGCCGAGGACGGCGAATTGCGCAAAAATGTAACTGCTTATTTAAATATGCTCAGATTAAAAATGTACTATTTTCGTAAAACTTCAGTAAGCGGTCTTTTGTAATGTTTTGGCAGTACTGACAGACACTACTGAACCCGGCAAAAGTGATCCTTAAACTTTTTTCACTTTTTGTTGGAAAAGCAAGTGTTTTCCTTTGAAGAAAAGCGACAACATTCTAAAAGATGGCTGATTCAGCTGGTCACACGGAAGGCACGTAATTTTGGGCACGCTCAAATTCAAGGAAGGCATTGTTCTTTTAGGAAGCTTACGAAGTCAGTGATTAAGCACTCGTTCAAACATATGTTGGACGGTGTATGCGTAAATGTGTATCAAATAAAGCTTGTTGCAGTGTGCATTTCTGAAACAATATTGCATACTAAATTCGAATGCCAAATAAATTGCCCCTAGAACTTCCGGAAAAAGCTATATCATTACATAATAGTGAATTTAAAAAAAAGAAAGCAGTGGGACCGTCTTTAGGTCCTCCATTTAACTTGATAAATGATTTTTGTTGTCTAAAAGGACACAAGACATTTTTGCGGGATTAAGACATTTTTTTTTTTATTCTTGAAACTAATTTGTTCGGATAGGTCGAAGTCTTGTACGGTCATATCATTCTGGCTGATGGGTTTCCTGAAAGAGTGAGAAAATATGATAATTTGAAATGTAACAACTCTAAGTCTAGGCATTCGCCGGAAGCCTTATGTTTTAATCTGGCTTCACGCATTAAATGAACATGGGCCGGCCGAAATAAGCAAACGACTTGTAAATATTCTTTTCAGCCTCTTACGAGTGTCTTTCTCAAGAAGATCCATCACCTCAACGGTGAAAGTGATCTGCGCCGTCAAAAATATTCTCAAATTCAACTTAATAACAAACAAATAGAAATATAATATTTTGCATATTAAAGTAGATGCTATACTACTTTTTTGTGTCAAGTGATCTTGCAGGCTCTGACATCTTATCCATTTAATTTGTTCTTGATACGGAATAGAGGGCTCCTTTACTAACACCGCGTTGAAGACCTTTTATTACATTCATTTACCCATGACAAGGCCATGCAACCTTTCTTTCGATTTCTTGCCTTCCTTGCAAATTAATTTCTCATTCACGATGAAGACAAAGAAGCCAACATCAACCTTAAAGTATCAAAATGCAAATTACTTTTGAACGATTGATATGACAACATCTTTAATTTGTCTATCTGGATGAACGCTTAGGTAGACAAAATATGCATGCTTTATTAGCCGTTTCGTGTAATATTTGGCATTGTAGACACGGTTAGGATAAAGCAAGGATTTTTATCTTTCAAATATGTGAAAGACTTAGTTAGCAGCACGTAATCTAGCATGTTGGAAATAGTTCGTGTGGTGATTGGGCATTCTTTATCCAACTAAATTTATTAATAATATCTTCAACGCTGATATAATCTTTCAATTAAGCATGGTGAGTGTTTGAAATATATATATATTTTCGAGGGAACTTCACAAATTTTTCCACTGGATAAAGTTAGTGTAGAGGTCACTCATTGAGAGTGTCATACGAATAGCTTATGAAAAGAACCCTCCCTACCTGTGTAAAGTGCAGAAGTGCTCAGAGGAAGAGGTTAGCCGTAAAATCCACCGCCGTGTCCTCCGTACTGTCCACCGTAGTTACCGCCGTAGGAGCCGCCGTAGCTTCCACCGTAGCTTCCTCCGTAGTTGCCACCGTAGCCATGCCCGAATCCACCTCCGAGGCCACCGAGGCCGTAGCCACCACCAAGGCCGCCATGTCCAAGGCCACCGTATCCAAAGCCACCGTTACCACCACCCAGACCGTATCCTCCGCCAAAGCCTCCGCGACCAAGGCCGAGACCGCCGTGGTGCAGGCCAGCAGACGCCAGAGCAATGGCGACGCAGAACAAGGCCAGGGAAAGCTGTAAGGCGAAATAACAAAGCGATAACTTAAGACAATGCTTTAGAGTACACATATGGACACACCTAATGCATTATGCCATTTTTAGTACCATTGAATTGATCTGTGAATATGCTTTACGCGTCGTTGCCCCGTCGACTTTGGTGGTTCTTTAGTTTCGACTATTCTACAGTGTTTCGAATATACAGCAATTGGGTGCGCTCTATTTTACTGGTCATGTCAAATGTATACTACATTAACCTTGCCTTGAATAATTCTTCCCATACCTAACTCTGCGCATTTAGTGCTTAACCGTAGAACTACTTAAAAAAAGGGAAAATGGCGAGGTGTAATAACTTGATATGTCCCTAAATAATGGTATGAGGAATTACATGTCCAACAAACGTTCACTTTTTTTCCACAATTTCAGTGCCGGTTTTGTAATTAAGAACAAAATTGTTGCGGCACGTTAAAACTGATTCTCGTGAATAGCAGCGACCTTCACCATCAAAACGCGAGTAACAGGGTAACATGAATAAAAAGACAGATATGGTTGTTTCAATTATATTAAAAACAATATTGATTGAAGTTAACCTTGTAAAGCAACTACGTTGTGTTAGTGTATAATATTTTATATGGGGCTCTGGTGTTGTGGTACTTTTGTTCACGTAAGTGCACTTGGTCAGTGAGAAGGTATTTGTTTAATTCGTCCAAGGATTTACATAGTAGTATCGCAGAAAATGTTGGAGGAAAAAACTGATTCACTCTCCCGCATTTGATAATGAATGATGTACAGCTTACCACAGCCTTCATGGTGAAGTGGGACGGTGAATACTGCAAACAATCCTGCTGCACTGTGTGATAATCTCAATCAGAACTCCAGTCCTTTTATAGGTAGAGATTTCCTTATAGGACGTGCGGATTTTCAGGCTTTTGTTAATAAATACCTAACTCGTTTCTAAGCGCGTTCAACCGCTATTTTTGTCTTTGATGATGGGGCATCTCAAGGCCCCTGAGAACTATTAACTGCGTTACGTCTCGCCAAGTTTTTTTAAATTTATTTTACTACTTCAAAGTTCACTGCTCCACAAACCAGATTGCGAGTGAGATAATATATGCAAACGTATTCCTAGCGATTTTTTTGTCTAGTTTCAATTGGCAGCTTTGTTAAGTTTATCTCCAGAGTTCACGTTCGAGCCAGTAGTCAAAGTGTTAACGTAAGCTACAATAGCAATTGTATCCATAACTAGTGTGGCGTTTTAACATAATAAATGGCTTATGTTAACAGCGAAGTTTGGCGCTCCATGTTAGTTGTTAATTACGCAAAGAGATGCAAGGCCCGACAGAGGACAGATAGAAACAATTAACTAAGGTACACTTTAATATGTCTATGTTCTTGTGGTTGCTTAAGTTTGTGGTTCCCTAAAAACCATTACCATGGTTTTTCCTGACCTTTAGATAATCATGGAAGGAGCAATAATTTGGTCCGTAAGATGAAGAAGTCAGGGTATTATTTTTCGCGTTCATGGTAAATGAGTGAAATCACAGATATATACGGTTGAATATTTAAGAGAGAAATATGTCCCTATAATCCGGGCGTACTGATTTAGAAGCAAAATATGTTAATATAAAATAAAAAAATTTAGAAGAACACAAGAACAAATATATTGTATAGTACCTGTAGTTGGTAGTATTTTTGGTACAAATATCTGAAAAGTAGTATTGTATTTATCTGAAGTGTACAAGGTATAAAAAAATTCTTTCACAAACTTTCAAGGGAAACAAAATGTCCTGGGATAAACTCTGTCGAACTGTGACCTTGTTCAGTGCATCAGGTTCAGGATACTTCCACGATTGAGCACATCGAAGCCTGAGAAGATGTTCACGTTAAGGATTATGAACTACGTCCAAGTGTACTTCACGCGCTGGTTTGTATTTTTTTTTTTTTTACTTTTGATATATTTTTGAATACATTCGCTGGTGGTTTTGCCTTGGCCCTTTCGATTGCGAAACCTATATTTTAGATATGAGAAACAGGTTTCCCTCAGGGGGCGGTTGTTCGAGGAAAACTAATTCATTCTTTAACAGCAATCAGTCGGGACTCATAAAGCTATACCAAAATAATGGGACATAGCTATTTAAGATATGGAGCGTTTTCGCAATGTGGATCCAAATTAGAACAAGAATTGCTCACAATGACGCTAAGTAGTTTGCTATGAAATGATCTCCGATACGTTTATTGCAATATGCAAATATTAAAATCCCAGTATTCAAAATTTGTTGCCCTGCAATTGATCGTTTGTCTAGAAGGTCATTAGGTTCGTTTTAGGTTTTAATTTTGGCCGTGCTGGCCGTCTTTGAGAGCAGTGCAGCCACGCCTAAATATACCGAACTGGCAAATTGCTGTTGCTAATGACAGTTGTACAGTTTTCTATGTTGTCGATCAATTGCCTCCGGAGAAATTCACATCGTAAGCGAGCCCTCGTCTGACTGTTTATTCGCTCACGTAATGGTCATGTAAAGGCCTCGGTCGGTGGTAGTTCAGCCGGGGTCTGGCTTCGCAGGACCTCTTTCCTCGTCCCTATGGTTGGGTGACTTGCAGCGAGCACAGCCAACGGCAGGCAGCTCCAGGCCGTCACAACTTACCTTTCTAGTTCTCTGAGCACATCTTTTCTTTATTTTCACCTCCTTGACCCGCAAGAACTTTGTCATCTCATTGCAACCAATATCTCCCATATCTGCCGAGCAAGGCTGCTCGCCCGCAGCATTAGAAAGAGGATTCTTCTTGACGAGATAGGTTTTTCTTCGGCTTCATTGCACCATCAGCGGGTCATGCTCAGAAAGTTTCGAAGATTTTGAAGTCCGAGGCCTGGCGGCAAGTTCGCATTCTGACTGATTTTCTGAGGGTGAAGTGCATCAGCTATAACGCTTTTTTTTACCACATGAACGTAGCAAGATCCTCCGCGGAGCCCCTTTGGAAAATGTGATTTTTCCCAATTTGGAAACAACATCTCACACGAAGAGTTAGGACAGAACCCAAAAGCACGCCACTCCAGATCATCGGGAATGTTTCCCTTTCGGCATCAGCCCAACGGATGCTCGATCAAGGTCCTAAGTTCGCCCTTCCACCAAGGCTGAGCTCCATTTATAAGGTCCGAATGGTACGAGCAATCGCAACCAAGGCGCCTCATGGGGGAACCTCACAAATCATCAATGAAGGCCTCGAGTGTTGGGCAGGTTTACAAAGCTCGGGCACTCTAAATATGAGATTTGCCTCAACGGTGGAGGAATTACGTCACAAAGACCTTAGAGTTTGCCTCTCGGAAAAGGAGGGAGGGTTTGTAGTTCTGGACTCTGGGTCGTTTGGGGAAAGAGCAAGACGAACCTTAGCGAAGAGTTTCAAGCAAGTGAATCCATGGCAAGTTCAACCAGAAAAACGAGCCATCCTCAGAATACTTGGGAAAAACAAAACAATGCGGTGGCCTTGTCACAAAAATTAGAAAATTACAACGAGGGGACCTATGTGTTTTTTCTCGGCAAAAACAGATAAGGAAGGGGTCCCTCTTTGTTCCATTCTCTCAGAGAGACAGACTTGGCAAGGGCAGGTGTCACTTTTTTTGGCGAAATTTCTATCACAGGTTAAAGTAAACGATACCGAACTCTGAACCAGTTATTTGCCTTCTCCAGGAAAAGGGATATGATATCGTGTCAGGTTTTTCCTTCGATATCCGAGAACTTTAATATTCAATTCCCAGGCGGCTCTCCTCAAGATCCTCCGAGAAACCATCGAGGAGCAAGGCCTTCAAAGCTTCAAAAATTTGACAGGAATGACCCTCCACAGCTTCTTGGAGCTTCTGACGGCTTACCTTTCTGCGACGGTGGTGTCACACCAGGAACAACACTGCTTACAAAAAAGCGGGGTCTGCATAGGTTCTTGAGTCGCCCCATACTTGAGTGACTTGTACCTAGCAGCATGCGAGAAGAACATTCAAGACCACTTAAAAGATCAAAGCATCGAGGCCATCTTTTGATGTTGACGACTTCTTCATACTATGCAACTGTGATGCAGACGAGGCGAGTAACGGGTGCTTAGAAGTGGTCATGTGCAGCTTCGAACAAAGCTGCCATGGACTGTATTTTACCCATAAACTTCCCGTAAACAAATCTATACGTTTTCTGAATCTCTCATTGGAGTTTCAAACTTCTCACGTATACTCGATGTATAAACCCCGTTCATGTAAAGGGTTTCTTCCGAGTAACTCAGAGCATTCCATGAATGTAAAACGGAAACTGGCCACCATAGCTCTCGTCTCGGCACTATACAGAAATCCTGCCCTCATAAGGTGGGGCGCAGCTTTCAAAGACAGATTTGTAGACTCCAGGAAACCGGTTGCTCGAGTACCCTCCACTTATCGATAAGTGAGAAGCTCTGCAAGCAAGGGCGACATAATCCAGAGAAAAATAAACCAACGAAAAAGAAACCCTCAAAGCCTTTCGTAGTGGTACCATATATACACGGGACCACTCATTGTCTAAAAAAGATCGCTGGCCGACGAGGCATCCATTTCGTGTGCTCAGCCCCCAACAAGGCGTACGCCATGTGCTGTTGGGTGAACCGGGACACCAACCAGAACGTGACGACGACCCGCGGCACTGCACATCGAACACCTACGGCCCATGCGAAAAAAGAGTTGTCTACAATATCCCGATGTCATGCATAGTTCGGCATTTTAAGCTGTCCTCACTCAAACTCACGATCATCATTGTTTCCTAGATCAGGACTCACGCCCAGTCACGATCACGATTTATTCAAAATCGGGTGCTCACCAGGACTCACCCTCACGGTTCAACACAAAACCACAACTCACTCGCCGTCATCATCACGGTCGTCACGCTCACATATCATCACGCTCATCACGCTCACAGGTCATCACGAATCATCAGACTCACAGGTCATCACCCTCACGGTCCTCCCACTCACAGGTCATCACGGTCCTCACGCACACAGGTCCTCACGCTCGCAGCTCTTTACGGTGCTCACACTCACAGGTACTGTCGGTCCTCACACTCACACAGGCCCTCACGGTCCTCACACTCACAGGTCATCATAATCCTCGCACTCACAGGTCCTCACACTCAGAGCTCCTCACGATCCTCACACTCACAGGTCCTCACGGTCCTCACACTCACACAGGTCCTCACGGTCCTCACACTCACAGGTCATCACGGTCCTCGCACTCAGAGGTCCTCACACTCACAGCTCCTTACGGTCCTCACACTCACAGGTCCTCACGGTCCTCACCTCACACAGGTCTTCACGCTCATCTTACTCACAGGTCCTCGCACTCAGGTCATCACGGTTACAGGTTGCTTTCTTCGTTTTTCTTTTGTTCCTCGCAAGCCGGTGGTTTGTCTTCGCGTGACTCGTGCGGCGGGGAAACTACTCCAAAACAGTGATCTACTGAACCGCTTATCCAATTTGAAAGAAATGTACGATGTTTATGTTTAGGCTCCGCACATTTCTACCAAATTTCGTTCACCTGGATTAATTACGAAAAAAACTAAATGCAAGCTGACGAAATTGGGCGTGTTGAACTTTCGCCTGCTGACAAGGGCAGCGGTAGAACACAAACGCGCCTACCGGCAGGTTACACAGACAACGTCGCAGTGATTAGAGCATCGCCTCGCTGTGCATACCACGCTCATTTGTACACAAATAAACGATTAATAGATATATTACCCCCGTTTCTTTTTTTTTTGTGCCCCCGACACGTACTTCTACGGAAGTTTATGCAGCATATATACACAATAAACATATGCATCGACGAAATTTTTTTTCTCTTTCTTTTTTTTGGGGG